ATTTCGCTGTTTTTCCTGCTCTGCTGCTGTTTGTTGCGTGGCATTTCCCAGACGCCGCTGCTTATAATTGCTCCATTAAAATTTGTTTATGGCCAAAGTTGATGCCGTGAGTAGAGTCGCGTCCTGCGTGTAATTAGAATGTCAGAAAAGTTGCCAGCCGTCGGAGTGCTACTATTTTTGGATCACTTAGTTATTCCAAGTTGCGCGTTGGTTGGGGGTCTCCTCTCCTTTTTTTTTTGTGGCTGAATACACACACATACACAACACACAATCTATAAAAGGTGAATCGCGTTGCACATTCCACAGAAAAGGTAACATTGATCGATTGCACAGCTTTCACTCTCTCAATGTGCCGCCTCTGACCTGTGCTGTCCTGTAATTGGCATAGATTGAAGACTGACCCAAAAGCGGACCCAACGCATCATTTGTTAGATGACTCATGCAAAAGTTGACCCCCCTCTATCCCTCGCTCAGTCCCTATATACTCTGCCATCAATCGACAAAGGTCAGCAAAGGTTATACCAAAGGCCTACTCCTCCTCCTAATGGAGTTTTCTTTTCAAGCCCTGCCAAAAAGCAGGCTGTAAAATGTTTTTCTGCGTTTTAGAAGGAAATTTAATATCATCGTCCTGCGTTCTGCTTGCTGCCTGCTGCGACCCCCTCCTCCCTTTTGTCCTGCAGTGCACACTAAAAGGTTTCCACGACGCTTTTAATTACACTTTAAACAATAGCTGCACGCAGCACCGCCCCCCTGGGCCCCATCCTGCCACCAGGGGCAACCCTTGCGCTCTGCTTTCTTCCTGCTTGCCCACTCTGGAAAATTGCGAACGTTTGCGATTTGCGCTTGATTAAATTCTAATTATAAAGCGTGCGTATTTCTCTCTTTCCTTTTGCTTTTTTCCTTTACTTTCCTTTCCCCTTCAGCACACTCCGTACCGCGCGCCCCACCGACCCACTCATCGACTGCTGAACAGTTTTCGGTTGATTTTTCCTGTTTTTTTTTTGTGTGTGCTGGTTGTTTACCATTTTCCTTGATTTTTACGACTTTTTAATGATTTTCACTGCCAGTCAGTCATTCTGGCACCATCGCGTGCCCGGGCTTCTGTCCGCTTTTCCTTTCCTTTTCCTTTCAGCTCTACTCCGCTTGGGGTTTGAATCTGGGTTTCCACCAATTTTCCTTTTGACTTTTGCGTTTTGTGTGTGTGTGTGTGTGTGTGTGTGTGTGTGTGTCTGTTTCGACAGTTTCTTTTCTACACTCGTATTGGATTGGTTTTTGGGGTTCGGTTCGGTAATATGCTAGCTCTCCCCCGCACCCGCACCCGTTCCTGCCCCTTCCACCGACCCCTGCCACTGACCCCTGCCACTGACCGGGCCGCTCCTCATTTTGTTTACTGCTAATGCGACTTTTAACGCTGATTAATGTTTTCTTTTTTACAGTTTTCCTTTACCATTTTCCACGCCCCACCGCACTGCCTTCAATTTCAGTGCTCCTACCTGTCCAATTTGTGAGGAAGCGGAGAGGGGAGGAAAACTCTGTTTGTTCGTTTATTAAATTCATTCGAAAATGTGTCCATTGCGACCACAAACAACAGTCGAACAGTCAAACAATTTGGCCGAGAGGCAAACAAATTGTTTGTTCGGCTGTCACATGTCAATAAAATTAACACTTTAACGAGAGAAACGGAGACAGAAGCAGAGTGAGCGAGTGCAAGAGAAGGCATACATATACTCGTGCACATTTTACACAAACCCACAATTCTGATTCCAATTCGGACTCGAATTCGGACAGAGAAGAAATACCAAATACCATTTTGTTTGCTGCTGAATTAAAGCAACAACACAACACATCGACAACTTGCGACATGGACAATAATTTCTTGACAGCTCGAAAATTCAATATTTTCAAGCAAAATGGAAATTTATACAGGAGCGCCAGAGCGACAGAGAGAAGCTAACGGCATGGACGAAGCTTTGGATACACTTTCAGGTGCATCCTTGCTATGCAACATTGTGGACTATTCACAGCGTGGCAAACAGCATCCCATACACGTAATACCCTCTCACAAGTTGCAGGAAACACTGGAATGCAAATTGCATTAAGTGCTCTGGGCGGCAGATTCTGCCGGAGACGGGTAGGAAAGCACTCCGACAGAGGTCGATGGTGTGCGAGGGCTGTTGGGGGAGGTAAAATCATTTGCTGGCAAATTCAAAGCTGCAACACGGTAAAAAGTCAGTTTTTAATTGATTATAAACATTGAAATTATTAATTTTTCTACAAAAAGGAAAAAATTCATGGAAAAAAGCATTAAATGCGGTTGCGTGATTTGCATTCTTTGCGGGAAAGTGCGCCTAAAAATGTGCTCTGCAATTTATCGCGTCATTTCGCCGCACTGTTTTTATCACGCTAATTTATTGAGCCGATTATAGGCCCCCCCCCCCCAGGTGGGGGTTGGTTGCATGGGCAGGGGTAGGGGCCAACTATAATTATCATATTTTCCATAATTTTAATTAGTTGATAGTGCCAGAAAATAATCGAATTTTATTATCCGTCGTGTGGCAGGCCCGCTTTTCCAGGCCAAAACACACGGTTTTGTTAAAGCCATTTTAAAGCTTTTGTGTGACTGGGCGGGAAGAGCCTCGGGGAAGCATAAAAGATAGATATAAATGGGGAATATATGCAAACAGACTACATAAATATGCATAGCTGATAAATGTATGAAATGTGCATAGAAATTAGGTGAGTAGATAGCTTGCATTCACCCATACACACTGCATATGCATATATGTATATATGTGGGTATATGTATGTGTGAGTGTACATAAACGTGACTTTAATTGATGGCCCGTTTTCGTTTGAATGCCATTTCCAAAATAGATATTATTAATCAATGTGTGAATGGATTATTTATGGCCAGAGGTCACTGCGTTGCAGGTTTTCTTTTCTTTTTAACCCGAATGAATCCCTCAATCTCTGGCAGAGCTTTCCCTCTGCAAATTGATTTGTGCAGAGCCTCCGCCGCCCCCTGTGTCTGGCGGTGTCTGACATTTTGGCCAGGCACCTGGAAGCATGCAATGCAGCACATATAATGCACATCTAATGCCAGCCAAAAGTCTTTTGTCAGCAAACACATTCTCGAAGCCGAGAGTCAAGCTGCCACCCTCACAAAATATGTGCACGCAGCTCTCGAGTGTTTGGGCAAGAGTTTAGAGAGAGAACGAGAGAGAGACAGCAACATGGCCATCAGAATTGTCACTACAGAATGGAGCAGAGAGATAGAGAGAGGGAAAGGGAGATGGTGAGTACTGGTGCTATTGCTGTGTTGCTGGGGCCAAGGCAATAAAATATGAATTTATGGCCTATTTGCATGGCTTTTTGGACCAGAGTCAAGTGCACTTCTCTTGGCCAGAGACAATGCAACAATTCGAGTATTTTTCTTGGCTATACCCAAAAGGGGGTCTGCAAAGCCACATTAAGGCTTCGCCACACTTGCAGCTTAATGAGCTTTGCACACACACACAAATCCAATACATATGCTGCCCTCCCACCACTGCTTAAAGTACTTAAAAATTCCCCCACATCTCTCTTTATATGTATATCCCTCGATATGTACATGGGAGTGCGTGCTCCATAAAGATTTCATAAAAAGCTGAGAGTATGAGAGTAAAGCCAACAGAGAGTTCTGGGAGAACGGTTTTGCGGTCTTAACATGGTGCTGGTTATGGCCATGGGTATTTTTCGGACTGGCTGTGGCCAAAAGCAGTTTATGCTGCATCTCCATCTGCAGCGGCAGTCAGAGATGTCATGTCTGCCAGACGAAGCCAAAGTTTATGGCTTAAACTCCCCTCACCGCCGTGGGGGATATTGAATGCACAAGGACGCACAATTTCTAATTGACTAACTCAATTTTGGGCTCAACTGTACGCAGGCCACAGCCACAGGCACAGCCATGCCACATGCCACCCCTGCTAGCTTTCCATTTACACACCAGAAACCCCCACCCCCCCTGATGCTTGTGTTCTGCTGGCAAAAGTTTAGTGTCAAATGGTTAAATTCGATTATGATTCTTAGTTGGGTGTTGGGTTATGGTAATCGAGTTGGAAATACTTCAAAGTTTCAATCATAATGACGATAATGTCCTTGCTCTGTGTGTGTGTCTGTGTGTGTTTGTGTGCCCCTTCAAGTGGCAGCTTTCTCTCTATATTCTCTCTATCGCTCTTGAAAGGCTTTTAGCCAAAATAGTCGTCATAATAAACACGGAATAACCCTGGCCTGGCCTGGCCTGGCCTGGTCTGTGCACAGGCTGAGGCGCGCTCAAAAGTATGCCATGAAATATGCATAAAATCCAAGCCCAATCCCCACTGCCGCCTGCTGCATGCTGCCTGCCCCAAATCGCCGCAGTTCGTTGCAGTTGCCAAACGAGCTGCCAAATCAAAAATCGCTGAGCGTGTGAAGTGCCAGTTGGCTGTGGCACAGCAGAGAGTGAACAGAAGAAAACACATGAGAAGGAGGAGCAGGGGGCGGCCTGCAGCAGAAACGAAATGCACATTAGAGTGGCAGCAGTGGGGCACGGCAGCCCATCGCCTGAAAGGAGTTTGAAAATTTCTGCTGTGGCATGATGCAGTTTCCAAATGATTTCGGGCCTGTTCTCGATTTAATTGGCCGAAAATCGTCGAAATTATGCAATAGCGTTAGATGAAATTGGCCGCAAAATAAACCAGAAATCATTTTTGGGAAATAATTTCTGCGGCACATCATAAACTATGCAAATATTCAATCTAAATTAAACATTAACAGCAAATACAAATACAAACACAAAGGCGTATGCCATGCCACGTCACGCCCATCCATCTGCCTTCATCCTGGCCTCAAGTTTGTCCCGCTAATAAATCAATGAGAATGGTGCGGCTGTGCTCCAAGTAGGCTATGATTTATGTCCATCTACAGGGTAGGCTTCTGGGCCTAATTGAAGTGTGGGAGTGCCCCTTGATTGATCAGTCATTACTCGAGTGCTCACTGTTCAGACTGCTCGACTGTCTCAAATGGAGAGTGTCAAAAAACGGTTTTAAAATTTGTTTTAGTATTTTTTTAATCATTTTAGTTTATTTTTTATTCGTCAAAATGTCTGTGTGTGTGCCCTCGCCCGACGCACATTGGACCCTAAAATTCAGAGATTTTCGCAAACCCTTTCCAGCTAGTAAGGTGGCCAATGCCACCTTTAAGGTCATCCGCTTCTTGTATCCACCCTTCGCCCTCGGTGGAACGGATATCATCCCCGTGGTGGATGATCCCCAACTAGATTTCGCTTTAATTTTCCTGATTTTTTGGATTGCTTTGATCCTTGGCCGTCTGTCCTATGCGGCCTACAGAATCATGTTTTTGGTGGTAAGTGGATGGATGCAGATTCTATTCCATTATAATCTTCATTTTGTTTGTTCCTCCAGCAACACTCGCCGGCCAGCAAAGTGCGGTCGAAGCGGCAGAGGGGATTCTGGGACCGCTACGGTACCGATGATCCCTTGCTCGACCCGTGCATGGCTGTCCACACAAACAGCACGAGTATACTGCCACTTCTAGACCTGCACTGCCATCAGGCAGAAGAGAAGAAAGAGCGAGTTGGAAACGTCTGGGTGGAGCAGCAGCCAGTTGCCAGTCCAAGGGTCGTGCCGAGTGGCAAGTATACGAAGAGCATCACGTGCCAATTCCTCGAAATTGAAGAAAAAACGGAAATCGATCTGACGGAACTTATCGAGCGGATCGACGAAACGGTGCAGCAGCGTAAAACAAAAAAAACCAGACGCAGCAAAAATTGGCCGCAAATTAAATCAGTAATAACTTTTGGGAAATAATTTCTGCGGCACATCATACATTATGCAAAAATTCAATCTAAATTAAACATCAACATCAAATACAAATGCAAACAGAAAGGCGTACGCCATGCCATGCCATGCCATGCCACGGCACGCCCTGTGTTGCGTGTGTGGCGTGTCTGGTGGGGCATGCTGGCATTGCTCATTGCGACACATTCGCACCTGCAATTAGCTCGATGGGCCCGTGCACTCGACACAGCGACAGCGACACACCTGCTGCAGCACACAGCCCCTTTTTGTGACATGCCACCGCGCGCGCAACTGTCCTGTCCTGTCCTGTCAGTCAGTCAATGCTGGCGGCAGCTGTCCAAAATGTAATATTTAACGCCATTTTATGCAAATTGAAATTATGTTAATGGCCAGCGAACCAGCAATTGATGATGACGTCTGCCTGGTGGAGAGGGAGAGAGAGAGAGAGAGTCGACTGGTCACTGGCCACTGGCCACTGGCCGGGGCAAAATTATGACAAACCAACCATCATTCGAATTGATTCGATTCCTGCCTCAATCCATCGCTTAAAGCATGTTGCATGTTCGAGCATCTTTGTCTGCCTCTGCATCTGCCTCTGTTTCTGTTGCTGCCTCTGAATGAATGCCTGGAAACTCTCTCTGACTCATTTGCATTTTAATAACAATAATCACAATAATGTGCAACAATAGCTGGAGGAGCAGCAGCAGCAGCGCAGCAGTAACGATAATAATAATAAGCACATCAAATCGTTGAATGCCACACGTTGCGGCTGATACATATGCCAGCCATCGGACGACTCTGGCTGCTGCAGTTCATCATCGTCTCGGAGCCCAGTCATTCATCCAAGTTCACTTCAGTTCTCATCAGAGTCACGTTCCTTCTTCTTCGGTATGTGCAACATTTACATTTGCACCACGCACCCCAATCCCCAATCCCCATTGTGTCCCCCTCCTGCTGCTGGTGCTGGTGCTGCTGCTGCTGTTTGCTGTCATTAACATTTTGTTTATATTTGCTTAAATGTGCGGCGCATCCTCATAATTAGTATGCATGTGTGCGTCAGGACTGTTGTTGCCACTGCATCAGTATCTGTCTGTATCTGCAGTTGCGTCTATGTATGAGTGTGTCTGTGTGCGTCTGTGCTGTGCGTTGCATTTGCAATTTACTTTTGTTTGGTTTAAAAAGCGCGTTAAATTTGATCATTGTTGCCGCGAGCTTTGTTTGCATTTCCACTCTGGCCCCTACTCCTGCAGAGATAGAGACGGTAGAGGGTAGGTTTCCCATGCCAATCACCTCTCTCACTCTCTGCTCATTATCGTCTGGCATAATACCTAATTCCACCCATAAAAAGGACAATATTTTCCATGATTTTCAATCACTCAACACACTCACCAGCAGAGGGACACACCACATGTGCTGTAGATTCATAAAATGGCATATACGTACCTAAAAATAGAATAAGAAAAGGTTGTTAAATTAGTTAGAGAGATGCAGTGGCAGAGGGCGAAATTAAGATGCTTTTTGGGGGCGTAAAAAGGTTCAGGGATTCGACTGGGACTGGGACTGGGACACGGACCCATCGACTGACTTGTACCTCGATTGACAACGCCTAAGTGGGGCTTAAAAATTCAATAAAAAATCACTTAACATTCCTTAAGAAGCTTTCACAAGAGCAACATACACACACACACACACGCACGAGCTTACAGGGATAACCAGGAGAGATGGTGAGAGAGGGCGAGGGTAAGGGAAGTGTATTCCCGTCGAATGTGCGCTGTCAAAGCCGACAAAAACTGCAGGAAACTAAAGCAATTTCAAATTGAAAACTGCTGCAAATTAATCAAATGCCATTGTCGATAGAGAAAGCATTCGATTGGAGATGGGAGTAAGTGAGATGGCGAGATGGCGCGATGGCGAGTAAAGAGTCAGAGAGAGAGAAAGAGCACAAGAACGGTCAAAAGGCAAGTCTGGCAAACAAAACACGAAAATGTCAGTCAGTCACAAAGACAGAAGCGAACGATAAAAGCCAAAGGCAAGGCATCATCAGTAGAGGAACCCAGAAACCTCGGGAACTCGGGAACCCGGGAACGGAATGAACCCAAAGTCCCCTAAAGGCAACACTCTACCCCCCGTCGCCTGTACAGCGCAACCCTTCCGTTGTCCCTTCATTTTCCACACATACTCGTACTCGTACTTATATATCGTAACGCATTAAATCGATAACACGATTTTTCATCACGCACACAGCTCCAGCTCCAGCGCCAGTCCCTGTTCCTGCCGTTGCCTCAGTGCCAGACCCCGAAGGGAACCCCAAAACAACTGAGTGACTCCCGAGTTAAATTGTCAGTTTCATTACGTGGCAGCTTTTCCCGGGCTGCTTCGGCATTTTCCTCCACTTCCACATCCACTTCCACTTCCCCGTTCATTTTCTGTTTTTTAAAGCCAAATCACTACGTCTGCGCGTGAGTCTACCCTCGTCCCTGCTCTGGCGACTGCTCCTGTCACCCATCCTCCCACCCAGCGAACGCCTCTCCAGGATTGCGACAAACGATTTTTCAAGCTGGCGCTTCATCGTTCGCATCGTTACTGTAGTGGCTCCAGCCTCAGCCTCAGCTTCAGCTTGAGCTTGAGCTTCAGCATTGGGTTGGTTTTTTTTCTTTTCTTTTTTTTACTGTTCCGTTTTGTGGTTTGTGCGCGCCAAACAAACTCAATTTTCGGCAGAAGAAAGAAAACGCATCGCAAGGCTCAAGGGACTCCAGGGAGAGTACTCGAGAACTCGAGCACCTCGACGCTGGCGAGTTCAACAAACATTTAACTGATTGCCTGGGCGTGCGTTCCAGTGTATCCTGCCTCCCCTACCCTCCCCTGCCTTGGCTGCTTGCCTTCAATGGCTGATTTTTTGATTTGCAATACACCTGGGAGGCAGTCCCCGGCCAGGCCAAGCCACGAAAATGTTTAGCTTATTTGTTAGCGCTGGAAAATAAATTGTCTGTGCGTGCGGTAATTGTAAATTACGAACAGAGAGCAGACACAGACACAGACAGAGACACGGATACGGATACGGCAGCTCGGATGGGGCAAGTGTCCGTAAAGTGGCCGGTGTTATTGACACCTCTCCATGGTGCACGAGTATGCTATGAATTTTTGATCGCATCTAGCATCTAGCAGCAAGGCAGTCGGCCCAAGGGTCTCGGGCCCAATAACCTACCAGACGAGGATGGGTGCCCGCAGACCGCACTAAACTAGACATTTGATTGGAAATCCCCCAGAACCGAACCAAACCAAACTATACCGAGCCAAGGCCTCATCCCTCTTAGCATTTCAATCGGCAGCCACACAGGATAATACACTTTGGGCCGGCGCCCGAAAGTAGGCAACAATTTCTTTTAAACTTCCTGCTGACACAAATCAGCCACAGGCCATAACTCAAACTATCTCCACCTATGTACACATACTATATGTAGCCACGTATCCATCGTATCCTCCGTATCCCCCTCGAACGCCGTGCCAGCGCCTTTGCCTAGGCAGCAGAATCAATAACCATAAACTGAAATTCCGTATGCTCACGAGCAGGAATCATATAAAAAGTATGCCACATGCTTGGGGAAATCACTAAATTCAGCCCAAGGCAACGTGTACCTCATCATTTATGTGTGGTGCGAGGGGGGGCGGCAGGCAGGAGGAGTACCAAAAAAACTATGCAAGGGCCCCTACCCCCTCCACACGTTGATAGCTGGAGACTGCTTATCATGGCATGTTGGAGGGGGTGGCGGGGCCGGTCTTGTGCTCCCGACTGCATGTGACATTTGCATGCTTACTTAAACAGCAGAAAGCAGCCTCAGCGACAGCCGTCGAGCCTGGGCACGTCTGCGTCAGCTCAGAGCACAGAGCATAGAACCCAGACCCAGAGCCAGAGCCCTAGCTAGAGAGAGAGAGAGAGTGAGCTCCAGACGGCGGAGCCTTCTGGTGTTGTCAGTAGGCAGTCGGAATCCTGTCGACGTCACATCACCACACACGTGTGTAGTAAAAATCAGACGTGTGTGGTGCGGCTCCAGGATTCGAGGACTCCGAGACTCACAAGTCTTGCCTTCCTTCATGTACTTTGATTGCTTGCACGTTACCCGTACAATTTTCGGTATGATGGCGGCAACATTTCATGATTTCTTGTACGTGTTTCTGCCTGAGAGCACGCGCCCTCCCCTCCCCACCCCTCCCCTCGTCCCATCATCCTTTCCACCTATCCGTAATGTATGCAAGCACTTTTTGTATATGTATATGACGCCGTTGCGCTTTGGGTCGTGGTGGAACCCAAGACCGAGCCTGACCGTGTTTGTTTGCCTGGTGACTGATGATGGTTTGCCCTGCCGCTGCCTCTAGATCTGGCTCCATCCCGGCCTCAAGTCTGTCCCGCTAATAAATCAATGAGAATGGTGCGGCTGTGCTCCAAGTAGGCTATGATTTATGTCCATCTAAAGGGTAGACTGCTGGGCCTAATTGAAGTGTGAGAGTGCCCCTTGATTGATCAGTCATTTCTCGAGTGTTCACTATTCAGTCTGCCCCACTGTCTCTAACCGAGCGTGTCACACAAAACTGTTGTAAAAATTGTTTTATTTTATAAATATTTTTTTGTAGTCACATTCGCCAAAATGTTCGTGTCTGCGCCTCCGTACGACGCACATTGGAACGTGGAATTTAAAGATGTGCTCAAACCCTTTCCTAATGGGAAGTTGGCCAATGCCACCTTTAAGATCATGCGCTTCTTGTATCCACCCTACGCCGTCGGTGTAATGGACGTCATCCCCGTGGTGGATGATCCCCAACCAAATTTTGCCGCAATCTCCCTGGTATTGGGGACTGCTTTGGTCCTTGGCTTTCTGTGTTATGCGGCCTACAGACGCAAGTTTTTGGTGGTAAGTGGATGCAGATTCTATTCCATAATCTTCATTTTGTTTGTTCCTCCAGAAACACTCGCCGGCCAGCGAAGCTCCGTCGAAGCGGCAGAAGGGATTCTGGGACCGCTACGGGATTCCGGACGGACACTGCGAGTCCGAAGAAGACACGGAAGAGGAAAATGGAATCACCAGCGAAGAGGAACAGTCACGTCGCAGTTCGAATTCCGGCCTTTCTATGCCGACTCCACAAAATTAAAGCAAAAACCGAAAACGGAAAATGATCTGACGGAACTTATCGAGCAGATCGACGCAAGGAGAAGCAGGAGCGTTGAAGGAACCAGTCGCGATGTCAGGGATCTCAGATCAGAGTTGGGTCTCACAGACAATGCAAAAAGAGAGCAGTTTCTATCTCTTGTTTAAGCTCTTCCAATTTCCATTTAATGTTCGGGGAATTTTCTCGCTCTGTGTCCCCCAATAAAATGAAGTGATTTTCCAGAGTTTTGTGTGTCACATAAACACCGCCACAGATACACACACACACACACACACACATGCAGAGAGGAAAGACACTGCACATGGGATTAGGAAGCTAAGGGACAGGGCAGAGCAGAAGTGGGGTGGGGTGGGTAGGAAGGACTTGGGCAATCATTTGGCAGCGCATGTGTCGGATTATTTTGTTGGTTTGCGTTTTATTTAAATTTTAGCCTCCATCTCTGGCTTTTTGGCTGTCTGTCTGCGTGTGCGGCGGGGGAGGGGTGATGGGATGGTGTGGCGTCTGTTGTGTCGCCCCCGAAAAAGCTGACAGCAGCTGAAAAGTATGCTAAGCTTTTCCTGCTCCTTTTTTGCGGCTCTCTTGGCTCGGTATGAAAACAAATTAATGATTTGCCATCAAGCAAATAAATCAAAAGCTTCAAAGCAGATCTCTGGCTTAGCTCTCTGTCTGTGGGTGGATGAGGTGTGGGTGATGGGCCGAGATTTAAAGCTCCAACTCTGCCACTACTCCTCCCCGGGAACCACTTTAAAGTTGGCCACGTTCCATAGTTTTTATTCTGCAGCTTTTTCCACTCAACTAAGCGCATGCATTGATGATGTATCCCCAGTCGTTTGACACCCCACCCCACCGTCCGTCCATTGACACAACATAAATAACCGTGTGAGAGAGGCTGTTATAATTTATAATCCTTGCTGTGGGCATGGCACCAGCAGCAACAACAACAAAAACAACGGCAGGAAGAACGAAAGGCAACAGGAACAGCAATAATGCAACAACACTACACTACCATGGAGAGTGCAAATATTTTCACTTGCTTTCCTCTTTTCCTCGCTCTCTCACTGTGTACCTGTAGGGGGTTTTTATACCCTTGCAAATAGGGGTAAGATGATTTCCCGGATTTATTTGTAACACCAAATGCTAGACATGGCATAGGAAAGGGTTCCGCAAAAATTATAAGCAAGCAATCGGCAAGAGGTGTCTTGAGAGAGCGGCTTGTACATAGGGCCTCATGCCCAGAAGGGGATGATCCCAGGCTAGAGCTGGCCGTCCTCGTGAGTTGTGCGACGTGAGTGCATGATTTTGTATTATTTATAAATATGCTAGCCAAATTAAATAATACAGTTCATTAACATTAGTAAATCATTTTCCATGTCTGTCTGTCTCTAAGCCAACTATATATCCGTCTAAGTCTTGCCATAGATTAGCTGATATATGAAAAATCAGCTGAAGCACAAGTGCTTCACCGTTGGTTCAATCAGGGTATCAAATGCTTCGGAGACAAACTTTATTTCTGTTTTTTGTTTTGTTGTTTTGTATGCTGTTTTTATGAAATATTTTATTTTGGTTCGAAATCTGCCCAGGCGGAATCTTTCCCTCTCTTCGGTTCAGTCGTCCTCCATCCACGTTGCAGGCACAAATATTTTGTTGGTTCTTGCCCCCCCAATACCTATACGCCTGTCCGCCCACTCTAGCACCCAAACTTCAGCCCACCTCTCGCCTGCATTTAGTTTATGTATTTTTCTGGTGTTCGTTTTTTTTTTCCTAACAAAATGAGGTCAAAAGTTTATTGGCTAACATTTGTGTGGAGTGTTGGAAGGGGCGGATGAGGGGAGGGGAGGGTGTGGAAGTGTTAGTTGGAAGGGTGGTTTTCCCCACCAGCATTAATGTCAGAAGCAGCTTTTGGCACCGCTTTAATGCCAACAATAAATGGCATAACACTCCAGAAGTGCCCAGGAGTGGAGCCACCCCTCAGTGGTCCAGCTAATTACAAACCAATCAGCAGTCCAGTCCTGGCCACTCTCCCTCCCCCTCTCACCCGACAGCCGCAGTACTAATAAATTCCCCCATAAATTATTGAAAAATTAAAATTAAAAAGCAAAATTGGGGCAAAATGAAAACCGAAAACAAAACCGAAAACTGCCAAACGCATTAAACGCGTAAGCTAGTGAAATTATGGTCGAGAAATGAACAGCAGGGGAGTCTGTGGATGTGGATAACTATTTTAATTATTCAAAAAATAAATGGGTTAACATGTGTTGTCGGATGCACACCCACACACACACACACCCACACACACGCACACATATTTCCCTTCCTGATAGGTCCATCATTTATGGCAAAATATTAGATCATTATCGGACCCATTCACATCCGAGTGAACTTCAATCGAAGTTCTGCAACTGAAATCGAGCCAAATCGAGAAAGTTTCAAGCTTGTTTTGGTATTCATCCTCGCTGCTCCTGCTCCTGCCCCTGGCCCTGGCCCTGGCCCTGCCCCTGCACTGATTTTCACCTTTAATGAGGGTGGAACACACACAAACACAAACACAAAACCCTTGCCCCCAGTGTGTGTTTGTCAGTGATTATGACAGATCTCCTGATTCTATTGCTGTTGTTGCTGCTGCTGCTTGGCATCGCATCGGGTTTCCACTGTAGTTATCCTAGGACTGGTATTGTTACTGCTGCTGGTGCTGGGTCTGGGCCTTAATTAAACGGCAATTGTGGTCATCAGCTGTCGGCTTCTCCGATGCCTAATCAGTTTTGTGCGATGAAAGACTAAGCTGGGATTACGGGCAGAATGTGTCTGTCTGTCTGACTGTCTGACCATTGCTCGATGGCCATGCGGGTGCGACATTTGAATAATGAATGTCAACTCGATGTTTGTGTCTGCCAGGGAAAAATATAAGCCCCGGCCAAAGTCCCCCAGTGTCACTCAGCTGTCAATTGTAGGTAAATCTAAGAGACACAGAAAGGCAAGGCTATAGTGGAAGGCATCTCCATCTAATTGGGGCGTGGCTGACTGACTGGCTGACTGACTGACTAACGGAACGTTCCAACGTAACCGTATCCAGCAAATGCAATTGGGCACTGCCTCCTCCCGTTTTGTCTTCTGTTGTGCCTGGCCTGCTAGTTCAGCTAATTGCTCTGATTATGTCGTTTGTGATTATCCGAGTGCCTTTGCAGTGTCCCTGCCACGTTGCATACAATTAGTCGCATCTAAGGCTAAATCTCGTTTATCAATCACGTGAGCCCCCCTCCCCACCCACCGTTATTTGATAATTTGCCAAAGGCATCGTTGATAATCCGAGGCTCTGGCTTTGGCTCTGTCTCTGTCTTTGACTCCACATTCCGCATCCCTGATTGGGTTAACTAATAACCAAATAACCGCACATATCAGAGTCTACTCCCTGGGGTTCAAACGGCAACAAAAACTTGGGCCCAACCCTTTGGTCTGGTCTCCCATCTCCGTGCGGGCTGCGTCTGTGCAACTTTTTGGCTGACAAGTGTGACAGGTTTTAAGGCCCATAACTAAAGCTGCTCCTCCCCCCCCACAACACCTCGCTGCAGAGCCCACCTTGGGGTGTGCCAAAGTCTCTGCGGTTCCTAGGCACACATTACACATGTACAAGGCACGGCAATAATACTAAATTTTACACCCCCCACCCAAGGAAATGGGAGGACAGAGAGCAGGGGAAAGACTTTCACATGACTCGTTAAACTTTTTGCCATTGTAATAGTTCTGCTCGGTTGGGTTTTCTCTTTCTTTTGAGACGGAGACCAAAGCGAGTCCCCACAAACCGAATGTTTCCTGCCACATCCACATCCACACGCACTTGGCTTGGCTGCTTTACATGCTCCTTGTTGGTGGTTTTTCGGTCTCTCTCTCTCTCTGCTTCTCATTCTCATTCTCTGGTTATGCGCATAATTTATAGAGTGCGACAATATGTTGCCCTCTGTCTGGTGCTGGTGCTGGCTCTGGCTCTGCCTCTGCCAGAACAGAAAACTTTTCCACTCTCGCTTTACTCTGCTCTCAAGAAAGTAAGATTTCTCTGACCGATACAGACCGATGCCCAACGTAGTGTGTGTGTGTGTGTGTGTGGGGGTCAAAGGGCAGGCAAAAGTCAAGGCTATTACCATAAGGGAATAGTCCTGGCCATGGAGCTCGCATACTCGTATTCCAAGCGACTTTCGCCACTTAAAAAAAAACTCTCCTAATTCTCCAAGTTCTCCAAGTCGTCTCTCACTGGAACTCCCCTGCACACACACACACACACACACACATACATATGCCCCTGCTTTGTGTGTGCTTTATTTTGGGCCAACGTTTAGGGCGATAAAAATGCAGAAACAAAAACATTTTGTTAGTTGCATAAATTTGCGTTGTTCTGCTGCGGGTCTGTACGCTGATAAAACAGCGTCAAAAAAGTGTCGTCGGGGGAGCAACTTGAGTAAAACTGTGCAGCAGCAGCAGCAGCGCACAACAGGGGCATGTGGGGAGGGCAGCGGGAGAGGCAGATACGAAAAAAAAACGAGTCTAAACAAGCTGCGGGGGGCAGGGGCCAGAACAACAGAAAAACAAACGGGGAAAAAAGTTTTAAATACACATTTACGAAGAGAAAACATTTCCCCCACGCCCTCTCTCTCTCTCTCTCTCACTCTATCCATATCGTATGAGAAATATTTGAATATTTGCCCTGGCATACTTTTGATGCTTCCTCCGCCTGCTCCTCCTGCATCCATCCATCCTGTATGGATCCTTTGAGAGGACTTTAATCGGTAGGTAGAAAGGGGAACCAACGAGCAGTTCAATGGCCTGGTAAAGACACGCGCACAGGGTGAGGCTAAGTTCTTCACAAGTTTCTTGCATGCCTCATAATCCTGCCACAAGTCCCACCACACACACAGACACACTCTCAGGCACATGCAAATGCAACAACCTCACCCATTCGTATCTCTATTTACAATTTATGCCCCACGTAAAGGTAAATAAAG